GAAGACGGCTCTATTCTCCGGTGAGCGCTTATATGCACGAGCACGGCCGGCGCTAACAAACAACTCACGCAGCTGAGGCTTCTCACAACAATGGACAGTGAAGGAACACGTTACATTAAAACTCACTGGGGACGAAACATTATTCAAAACGCTGCATGTAAACGCATCAAATGGCACTGACTTGTTTGTGTGTTATTTTAATCTGTATGTTTTAAGGTTGAAGCGCTTTGTGATCCCGGTCTGTGAAAGGATATATACAAATAAACGTTATTTAATTACTTAGTTGAATTCAGGGTTTTTTCTATATTCTGCTGAAATTGCTGAATAGCAGCACAATTCAAACCCTATTTTAAGAAAATATACTTTATTTTTTTATCTCAACATTATAATCTAATTTAGATAGTATGACATTTAGTTTACCCAACCATATTTAACATGATGGAGCTTCATATGCACAAAACCAAAAGCCAAAAACCTCTACTGAAATGATGCATGGATAATTAGGAGGAGCACAAACACAATTTGGAGAAGAAAAAAAATCCACAGCAATCACAATAGAGCAGCACTTTGGGCCTACCTTCAACAGAACGAGAGCTCAGGACTGAAGTCAAGTGGTTTCAAGTTGGAGCTGGTTCTCTTTAACAAAGCAATTATCACTGATTTCACCGCTGCTTGTTTGTGCTATGAATAGAAATGCAATTGCTTTAAAAGAGCTGGGCATTAAAAAGGCCATTCCGTGGGCTTTTTGCATCACGCTCTAATATGTTACTGTTTGACTTATGTACAAGCCTGATGGCCAACAATGCCAACATTTAGGACTGAATACACCGAACAGATTTGTATGGGCGATAACGGGGATATTGAAATGCTGATATTTTTGGATGTGTGACAGTTGATTTTGTCATTGTGCGTTCATATATTTTAAAGCCACTTAAAGGTGCTGTATATAACTTTTATTTTTCATAACTAATGCATGCAGTGTGTCCCTACAGAAAGGGTCTGGCAAAATGTTGTGAACAAGTTACTGTGGCAACTGTCAAAAGAAATGTGTTTTTACTGTCTGCACATATCAACTATAATCTAATTATTTTGTCATATAGGTGTCTTGAAGTAGTGAAAATATAAAGACATGAATAGGTAATTGGCCAGTAGATGGATATTCAGACATGAAAATTGTCTTGATTATTTTGAAGTTTGTCGGGAAACTTTTAGTTGCTTCCGAATTGTTCTGAATGTGAAAATTTCAGTATGTGGGACGGGCAGAGGGACCTGTCTAATTTGTTTGAATGAGCTTTGCTGAAAAGAGATTAAAGGTGTGTATTTTAATATGGTCGTTGTCAAATTGTCTGTGCTTTACTGATTCATTGTGTATATGTTTTTTTAGCTCTTAAAGTGCAATAAAATTAAAACTGAAAATAGGCCCCTGCATCAGTACGAGCACTCATTAATTTGGCTAAAGCTGCTATAAGAATAATTTGGATAATCTAAATCCCAAAACATAATCTAGGTAAAAAACATTTGGACATTTCCAGTTCCAACACATCTTTCAAAAACCGCTCCTTTCGCATAGAGTCGTCTCGGCCCCTGCCCTCTCCAACCGTGATAGAATTCTACAACACAAACCCAGCTTATTTGCAGCACACTTATAAACCTCTGCGTCTGTCTCCCTTTTTTCCTCCACGACCACAAAAACACAAGCAACTGCCATTATTCCATCTCCACACAGTCACTCCATCACGAGTCTTATCCCCATCATCGCGGGCAGCTCTCATGCACACACACACACACACACACACACACACACACACACACACACGCCTCTGTTCTCAGTCCAGGCCATTAAACGCAAGTGGCAGGTCAAAGAGATGTTTGTCGACATCATGTGCACGGAGGGCGGGACGGGCGATGCATGCTAAACGCTTGGTAGCCAATGAGGAGGCGGTATGAAAATGGCCCCAGACACCTGCCCTGGAGTCTCTCTCTTCCCCTCCGTCTTATCGCTGATCTGCCCCCAGACAGCTCAATCGTCGGCCAGTGCGCAGCCTGCATATGGAATCGCTCTGATCAATCTCTCGCACTAGTTGTCTTCTCCCCTTGCACTTTTTCATTAGCTCAGACAAATAAAAGGCCGGGCTTATTTGGAGTTTAGCGGATAGATTTGAGCTGTCTGAAATGATCCTGAATCACAGCCAATTTAAGAGGGCGCAGGCATTTATAACATCTTGTAAATAGCAGCAAAGTGCACGTCGCAAGCTGCAGTAAAGTGTGGAAGCATGAAAAGATCAACTTATCAACTCTATTTGTGTTGTGATGAATGTGCGGTATGTCAAGTGAGATCATTTTTTGGCGGACGTATTAAAGATTAAAAATGTTATAACGTTTTTGATGCCCGTCTTGTCAAAACACATGATTAAGATAATGAATCGTTCTTGTTCTTCTTATTAGGAAACTGCAAATCGGTTATCGACGCTGAATACCATTGCTGCAAGTTGTATGCCGGACTAATCCAACATTTAGGTGAGATTGAAACATGAGGAATACAGAGAAAAGATGAAAATACAGTCTCATGGGAACAATCTTAATCTGTTAATTTTTATATCATGAATGCTGCTGTCTTTGTTATAATATATTTTGTATTAAGTATTTCTGTATAGTGTACAATAATATTCAAAATGTCAAAACAATAATCAGATGACTAGTAAATAGTAGATCAATCGTTATAGTCACTGCCTTCATGCTACGAAAAGACGTATGAGTGATTCTGGGATAAAGAGCGTGTTCAAACTCGTCTGGTTCACTTTAACTGGTCCAATTCTGGTTCACTTGGGCAAAAAAGTCAATATTTGTGACGAAAAAACCACCAAACAAGTGTTTAAAAGCATGTGTCCATTGTCATTTAAGCCAGTTTTCATCTTTTCACATACATTTTAGAGGCAAGTGAACCAATCTCGGCCAAGTCTGAGTGAGTGAACTAACCTGTGTGAGCACCCTCAAAGCTTAGACTTCAGTTGAACCAGAATCATCACTAATGTGGGAAGCACTATGACAAACTCACACGAAACACAGACAGTGAAATAATCCTTAAAATGGATAGTCACTGTGGTGGAATTAAGAAGCTTAACATAAGACCAATTGTTTTTGGCAACGCAGACAGTGCTAGCGACCTGCCTCGTGCTTCCCCACCAGCAAAACACAGTCACATACGGGTCAGTGCATATTCCACCGCATCACCTCGGCCTCCACTGACCGGATAAAGCCACAGGACACTCCCCCTCCCTCTTCCATCCCCCCTTGTATTCCACCTGTGCTATATTCACATACTCCAGGAGCAGCGGAGCCATTCCAGACAGCCACGGTAAATCAGCGAGCCTGTAAGTAGGTCTCAATCCACGGGGGCCTGGATCTCTCTGGATCACCCGGTCAATACGTCAATATCCATCTTGTGTTTCTCGTTTTAAAACCACCACAGCCCTTATTCAATCCCTTTCGTCTGACCGTCTTAAAAAAAACAAAATTGCAGTCGTCAATTAGCGCCTTCATAAGCTGGCTGTCTATAGTATTGGCAGTAAATGCAAACAGATGTACTTAAGGTTTTTTGAAGTGCAAAATGAAAAATGTGTGTCGTGCTTTCTCTGGGAATGATGAAGGGGGGTCAGGAGAGAGCGAGAGAGCCTGTCCTAGGAATCTGATTGAGCAGTTTATACATCCAAAAATCCATAGGCTAAAGATCAGCTTGCGTGCACATAAATAAACAGCGTCAGCATTTTTTAACAGTCAGTCCAAGTCAAATGTCTGAAGGAGCCATGCGTGCTATTCGATGAGTGATTCGATGGACTGGCCATGCAACACAACAAACAAAACAGCCAAATGGACAAATAGAGCTTTAAGCAATGATTATTCTCTGCACTGGCTGATTAGCCCAGTCAATACATCTGGCAGGTATACAGACGCCCAGGATTTGTCCGCGTTTTGAAACGGCTAAGCAAACAAGGGATACAAAAAAAAAAAAAGGGTGAAAAATTGCGCTGGCTGGGTAAGTGAAGCTGAATAATCTACTTTGTCAGGGCTCCAGATTTGTGCCTGGCAAAGTGCTCGCTCAGTCACAGGTCAGACACTGTGTCGGGCCACCTTAAAAAATTCCCTGGAAGGATTCTGCGCAGATCTACTGACAAACACTCACGCATGCCGTTTTGAATAGCTTAGCTTAGCGACATCAATAAAACACAGACATTTGACTACCACTCACAAGGGCACGCAGGACTCAGAGTAAGAGGAGGATGGGGTTGCACAAATGTGGAACTAAACCATTTGCAACAAGATTGAGAATGGATTTGATTGGCTGGGGTGTGGCAGAGTTGGGGTGGTTAAAAGGGCAGAATTGTGTTGTCAAATCTATCTACATAATTTAAGTGGGGGGGATGATATTTGAGATATTTTTTAGGATTTCTTTAGGACATTTTTGTTTTTATGAGTCTTTCATGTGGAGTCTGTTGAGTCTGAAACTAAGACATGGGCACTCGTTACACATTTTTCGAAACCAATTTATTAGGATGTATTTAGGAACACATATAAGAACTTGATTCAGTATTTGGTGTTTGTTTTGATTTTTAAGGCACTCTTGATTTGCATTTGTTTTAAATATGTGTTGTCGTTTGTTTTATATGACTACAATGTTTGTTCATGCCTTAGTTGTTTCACATTAAGCTGAAATCTCGTACGAGTGAGTGGGTCTGGGAACGACTATCGATCGACTGGGCATGTTTATGTATTTTGTGTTTCTTCCAACCCCATGTTCTGAGCCAACCAAGCATTTCTTTGGTCGCCTGCAGCCCTAAATGTCTTCCTTATCCATACATCTATCTCATTTATGACTATAATTGAGCAGCCTCCAAACCGCAGCGATGCAAATGGGTTAGTTCCACTCTCTAAAGCTCCATATGTGACAGTGTCTGGTGCAGCCCAAAGCAGTGAGGCCACATCGTAAGCGTCTGGAGTCTCACCTCGGGCAGGGGCATGCCGTTGATGATCAGGTCTGGCTGCTGGTGGCCTTGTCCCGGGAAGGGGTGCTGGTAGCCGTGGTTTGGGGCGGCGTTCCGGGAGTTCTGGTTCTCCACGTTTAGGAAGGTGCTCTCGGAACGCCTGCAGCCCAGGGGCAGGCTCTGCTGGTGGTAGTCGAAGTAGTTGAGGGAGGAGGTGAGAGAGGAGCAACTCACCACATTCATCTTGTCCGTTTCCTCCACGTCCCGCGGCACCAGCCGGATGTCGTTCTTGTTCAGCTTTTTCTTTTTGCTGGACTTCTTCTGGTTGCCATAGGAGTACTCCGCCACCCTGCGCAAGTAGAAGAAACTGAACAGACTCAATAAAGCAGTGCTCTGTCCACAGCTTTGTTTTAGCACAGTCACAAGAAGCAATGCAGCGTACCATGCCGAGCTCTTCATCATGGCTCTGTCTCTGTAGACTGCAATTACTGCGTTCACACGTAAATATAGTTTTAGCTAATTAGCCTGTCTGACAACATGCAACTCCACGTGGCTACACGATATCAGGGCATATAACATCATTAGTATGCAGTGCTTACCAGTAATATCTCAAACCTGAACTCCAATTTGGAGTTTCACACAAACACATTACATGTTTATAAAATCATATTTAGATTCAATAATTACAGTTATTTAATCCATCGCATGCATATCTTCTTTTACATTGGAGGAAAACTATTGGAAAATGCAGGAAAATAGAGATATAAAAGATCATTAATTTCTAATATCACGAAAATGCGTTTTATTAAAGTCCTTTTGATGTTACAAAGGTGATGTTACGGCAGATAGATGTGTCCAGACCTCAGAACTGACTTCTGCAAGAATAGATCTGGCTGTACAAGGTCAATTATAATGTGACAAGCTTAAAGAGCCTGAAATGTGAAAGCACGTTTTCCTATTTGATATAATTGAATCCAGGTTTGTGATATATTAGTGTTTCAGAAAATCTGAATCTGAATTATTTTAAAATTATTTTATTTTTAGGTCTCAGCTTTGAAACAGATTGGATACATTGAAACTGTGTGGAGCAACAGTCTATAGGCATAAGGATATCTTTGTTCTGATTCAGATCCAGGACCTGCCAGAAGCATCATCAGGTGCAGGTGGAACCGGACACTTGGAAGTTACCATCAATATTGCAGAGCCACATCTTTGTTTGGATTTGCATGCTCCACAACGTGTCACAAAAGCAATGCACACAATATGCAAACATGCCAAAACCACCCAAGCAAAGCGACGACACAACATTCGGAGCGAGCAGCACTACCGGTCTATGCAATTATATTCAAAGCACATACAGTAACCCACACTAATTCCATTTCGCTTCCTTTCTTTCATTATCAGGCCGTCCACTCACTGGCACTATGGAGAGGGAACTGCACATTCAAATTCATTTAGCTGCTCTTGCTCGCCGCTGCAAACTTGAACTGAAGTCATTTGAGTTTAATAGGAGCAAATGAGCAGCGCAGCCATGTTCCATCAAAGCCTCCTCGGAGTGGGGGAAATAACCATTCTTTGCACAGACTTGCAGTTTTTACAAGTCTCCAGTCCATGAACAGATGCTACTATCTCCACAGTGATGACTCCTTCACTTCAGCAGACATATTCCTTACGATGTTTTGTTTGTTCCATCAGCATTTGCTTCCGACTAGATTTTTATCCTTACAGCGAGCGGCATATGGTGTATTATCCTTGCTTTAAAATCCATAAACATGAATCGTACTTCCCCTGCTTCAAGCCAGGGCTCATGAGTACAATCTGCATTTTTAAACGTACGCTGCGGAAAGTGATGAAAGATAAGTCAAATATTGCTCAACTTTGGCAAAATGTGTTTTAATTTGAGCGCTTTTTAAAACAAGATTTGCCGATGGGACGAAGCAAAATGATATTGTTTTGAAAAGGTACAAGAAATGTCTTCCTTGGAATGAGGAAATAAAGCAACAGTTTAGTTCAACAGTTGAAATAAACTAAATGGTTTTGTCCCATGGGTAAATTGTGTTTTATTTTATGAACATTTTATAACTTTTTTAGTGTACTGCTATCACTGAAAATAGTTGTAAATTTGGGAAGATTTCAGATTTTTTATTTATTAGGGGCTGAAATGTGATATAATGTGGGAACCAAGGGGAACCCAAAAACTAGACTGTACATTGAATTAGGAGTTCATATGTTAAAATCTGTATTTGTAACGATCGATGTCTGTCTGATTTTTGTCTGAATACGATATTTCTGGCCACCTTTGCAATTGCGATTCTTTATATGTTTTAAAAAGTCTTATTTTCTTCAATAAAGTTCCATTTGAAAGAGCCCTACATATGAAGTGATACTTATAGTCCCGCACATGTTTCAGAAGTATTTACCTTGAGTACATTTGTTTTCATGTAACAAAAGTAATAAAATGTCAAATCTACTCTAAACAAACGCTTGAATTAAGTGGTTTAAAAAACAAAACAAAAATCTATTCTTACTATGAAAAAGATGAGGTGTCTCTTTTGGAATGTGAAAATAATGGATTCTGGCCGGCAACAAGACCAAACTTGCTCGTTCCATCGACAACATCTTCAAAATACTCAAATCAAAAGCCATTTTCTTAAAATCAAAAGATGATTGTTTATCATTAGTCCCTTTTCTGTTTACAAAAAAACTAAATAATTGCAGTCTTTCCAAATTGCTTATTGCGAGCTGGGAAATAGCAGTCGCCGTTAAATTTTGCAATAAATTGTGCAGCTCTTTCACGATATTAGTTCAATATTCAGTCTTTTCCCAAAATGTTTAAAGCCCCTAATATGAAATTGCTCAATCTTTACCCTTGTCAAAAGAAAATACAGCAGGAAGCTTTTTGACCTATCCTCCAGTGTAATGGGGGGAAGAAGAAATACAGGTCTTAAAGCAGCACCAGAGAAATGTGCCATTCTTTGAGACGCTTTCATATTTTTTATACCCAGTCTCCACACAGTGCACATCCAAAAATTCAAATGTTGTAGAATGAAAATCTTGAGAGGCAGGCAGCCAGGGCAGACAGGGGGACAAGCAATGAATTTGAGATAAGTGCTGTTCAAATTCAAGGTGGCAACTGAGAAGGAGGGTGTATCAGGAGTGATTAAAGCGCCCAGCGGGGAAGGGCTCTCACACAAGTGCTGTGAGCAGTGTGCATTCACAATCTGTTGTACCCATTACTGTTGCCTGTGCCAATAACACACATCACTCCTGATTTCGACCGAGGCCCGGAGGTTACCGCTGCGTCTTCCCCCGAAGCAATGCAGCCATTTAGTGCAGTCAAATGCTCTACTGTCATTTCAGAACTTTCAATTAGAAAAGTACAACATGGGACGATCCCTATGTTATTATTTTCAAAACGAATGCTGCAAACTGAACTAGTTCTATATGTAATCAAATGAGACGTGCAGACCGGGAAATATTTATGTTTCTTTGTTTTGTCTTGGTTTTTTTTGCTTTGTTTGTTTTCTCCCCTTTAAGAAATGTGTTAAAGAAAACTTCAAATTTTAAAAAGTACAATATTTACGCTGTTATGTGGGTTACTTCTTCCCTGCTGGTGATGTGTAGTTGCAATAGTCTCCTTCCTGATATCAAGATCACGTTGTTAATGCTCACAATTAGTATTTGGGCTATAATTCTCAAAATGGTTTGCAAAAAATGGCTAAGATTCCTAAAATGAATGGATTTGAGTTCATTTTGACTCAGATTTTGATTGTTCTTTAGCCTATTATTTTAGTATCTATAACCGTATTTCAAGTATAGTTGCATTTTCTGTCATTACAAGAAAGAAATTGCTTATTTTTCAAGGCTTGTTCTAACTTAAATTGGAAAATGCACCAAAAAATACTCTACAGTAAAGACAGAACACAGAATTCACGTATTTATTAACTTTTTGATCCTTTTTTTTTTTTTACATTGTCCTCTAATTATACAGTTCTACTTATATAAGTTTCATTATTATTCTATTATTGTATTGTAGTTTAAACCTCAAAAAATGTGTTTCTGAAATGTTTGGGAATATTGTATTGCCAAATTGGTGTATGTAATGTTTGATTTATGTACAGTTAAAATGATATATGTTTGATGATTCATGCACTTTTACTTCTGAAATATAATAAATTACAATGTGAATCCCAGAATAGTAAAGCCCTGACCTTCTTGCTGTATCCAGATAACACACTCAACAATGCAACATATGTCACATGAACCTAAAACAACGAAAGGTTAGAGATAACGTAGGATTTTGGGATTTGCTTGGATCAATAAATATAATCCATAATGTATCTCTATCCACATTTCAACAATGCCTCAAAGCTTTGTCTCCGTATGACTATAGCAGCCTGAAAACTGTGTAACTTTTCTCCAAATTGACCAAATTATGTTTAGAGCCAAATATGATTATAGCTCCAGGTTAAATTCTCAAAGCCAATCTATATGTAAATTTATAGTTGTATCAAGGCGCAGGGAAATCAAAGGCTGTGTCAATGCCTGGATTGATGAACTAAACAGCAGCTCTCTGTGCACGACCTGGAAAATAATAATCAGATGACCTCCGAGCATTCCTAATGACGACTTCTAAATTATACAATGTCATGATATTGATTTAATTTCACATGCAGCACAAAAGCCATCCTGCAGTGGCTGAAGATAATCGCTCTGGCAGCACATGTACCATAAAAAAAACGTCTGCTACATCGTGCCAGTGTATGCTGAAGTGAAGGCATTAATTATCAGCCACCACCGCCACAAATTGGACATGACAGTTTGGGTGGTGCTATTTACGAGTCAATTGGTTACATTCTGTGAATTAAATCAGTCAATCACTCATATTGCCATAACATGGAACAGTGGGCCTTTTAAGCTAAATGGCTGAACAACCTCTCCATGTGCATCTGGTCTGAAGCATTTGGAGTTTTTTTCTTCTCCTGCTTTCATGCATGCTACATCTCAAAAAAAAATCAGAGCACACAGAACAGCCGGCTCGCCATAGCATGCTCTGCCTACACATCTCCAAACACATACACAAGTCAGGGGCCACACAAGGATGTAGTGATGTTGTTGTTTTTTTAAGGAGGAATCATGAAGCAGTTCTATAATGGTGTTTGTATTGTGGCCTTTATTATTCTATATGGTTGGTCTATATGATACTTAAAGACTTTATAACTAGAGCTAGTACATCTTTTGTATACACACACTTACTAATAACTTAACTTTGTTTTGAAATATAGTGGGAATGTGTGTCAAATGTACAAGAAAAATGTATGAAAGCAATGTAATGTTCCTTTAACATGCTTCCTAAGAATATAATTCCATTGCTATCTTACATGTGTCTTGTATAGAAGAGCCAAATAACAAAATCTACTAAGAATACAAGATAAATCTTCCAAAACCATGTTTGACTAATGACAGATGTGATTATATTTTTAAGAATTCAATCAATTCTCAGGTTTGACATAAGGGACCTCATGTGCATTTGACCATTTGACAATATAAATTTGACAAACAGCAGCTTGGGTCTTGATGACACAAGATGTTAATAAGTATTAGATTAAATTATTAAGTGTTTAATTTGCATTATTTGTTCATGTGCAGCCCACACATAACACACCACACATCACACACACAACACCACATCAGATATGGTCAGTACCTGCAGTTGTACGTCCGGATCTCCTTGTTGTCCCGCTTGCACTTGACAGCCACAAAGATCATGGTGACGAAGAGGATTGCAGCTATAGAACCCAGGGCTATGATGAAGATGAGGGAGAGGTTGACCGGTCCAATAGACTCCTGTGCGTTCAAATCCGGGGAAAGGTACACCACAATGTAGGCCGAGGCAGAGAGGGAGGGCTTGCCATGGTCCCTTGCCACCACTGTTATTTCATAGGTGGATTTCACACTTTCTCCAAATAACCTTGTGGACCTCACCTCTCCATTCACCTGGTCTATCTCAAAATAGGCCCTGTCGCCTTCTGAAATGGTGTACGTCAATCTCCCATTCTCTCCTTCGTCATAGTCGTCCGCTTTTACCTGGGTCACCATGTAGCCCACGCCTGCGTTCCGTGGGATGGAGACCTCAGCAGTGCCATTGACTAACGGAGGGTTGGTCATTACAGGAGTGTTGTCGTTCACGTCCAGGACAACAATTCGAACAGTGGCGTTGCTGGACAGTGATGGGTTGCCATTGTCCCGAGCCAGAACTTTGAAATCAAAAGTCCTGGTGTACTCGTGGTCAAACGATCGCATGGAATAGATTCTACCTGAGGGGTTGATGCTTACGTACGTGTTTACATCCATATGCTTGATTTCACCCGGGACTATGGAGTAAGACACTGTTCCATTCATGCCTAAATCTGGGTCCTCAGCCGCCACCTCCAACAAGCAGGACCCGGGTAAATTATTCTCCATGACCATTTCTTGATAGTGTGGCTTTAAGAAGAGTGGAGGATTGTCGTTCTCGTCTGTAACTTTGACCACTAGGGACTTTGTGGCGCGTAAAGGAGGGATGCCACTGTCCTCAGCTTGTATGGTTAGGTTATACGTATCCTTCTGCTCCCTGTCAAGTCTACCATCCACAAGAATAGTGGAAAAGCTTTCGTATTCTTGCAGCCTGAATGGTACATTGCCCTGGAGCCTGCATTGCACTTTGCCATTCGCCCCCGAGTCTTTATCGGACACCCTCACTAACGCGATGACATATCCCCTCTGCGCGTTTTCACTAACTTCCACCATCTCTGTGTTGAGTGACAGGAGGCTGATGACTGGCGGGTTATCGTTCATATCCATCACGTTGACTGTGACTTTACAATGCGCAGGGATGGAGTTAGGACCCAAATCTTTGGCTTGGACGTCTATCTCATAGATTTGACTGCTCTCATAATCCAAAACGCCATTGACAGTGATGACCCCAGTTCTAGGGTCAATTTTGAAAGCGTCCCTCGTCTTTTCAGTGACGTAGCTGTTAAAAGAGTACACAATCTCTCCATTAGTGCCCTCGTCCGGGTCTGTCGCGTTCAGGTCTATCACCATAGTGTTCACGGGGGAGTTCTCCATCACATTGACTGTGTATACTGACTCGTCAAACACCGGATTGTTGTCGTTGGAGTCTATTACTCTGATGTTTAACTTGACCGCGCCTATTTTGGGGGGGTCCCCTCCGTCCTCCGCGCTCAGATCATATGAATAACGTGATTGGGTTTCTCTGTCCAGAGACTTCTGCACGACAAGCTCTGCAATCTTGGAGCCGTCGCCTCTGGTCTTGATTTCTAGTCCGAAAAGCTCATTGGGGGTGATGGAATAGGACTGCACTCCAAAGACCCCTGAGTCCGGATCGCTCGCTCCCTCAAGGGGAAAGCGAGTTCCAGGGGCAGCATTTTCAGAAATTTCAATGTCAATGTGGCTTGTGGGGAATCTGGGCGCGTTGTCATTCAAATCCTCTATTTCAACTTTAATTACGCAGATTTCCATAGAGTTTGACATCACTTCGAGCGATATAATGCACTTTGGGTTTTGTCGACAAACTACATCCCGGTCGATTTTCATTTGGGTTGTTAGGATCCCGCCCGGGCTCAATTCCACCCATCGCGGCTCGGAATTAGAAATCACCCTCAGGTACGGAGGCTGCGGTGCAATCTGAAATCCCTGCTTTAGTGCGTCCTTAGTCACGTTCCCAATCACAGACCCGGGCTTCATCTCCTCGTTAATTCCATATTTGAGGTTAATCACCGCGTCGGCTCCAATCCAAAACAACAAGAACAGCACGAATACATGTATCAGCTCCATCTTCTTGCTTTGAATTTTACCTGTTGACTTGTTTCGCTCTGGATGTGAACTATTACGCACGGTAACCAAAGAGCGCCCGTCTCATTTCATTCAGAAAGTCCACTGTTGAACATGAGAAATTCTAACAAGTGTCCTACTTCACTCTGAGAGCACATCGTCCAGTGGATCACAGCGGCACCGGGAACATGCCGGGGCTTCTTACTACACTGTGTAAATCCAGTTAGGCGCCCGTTACGCACGACCCCCAGCACAAACTGTTCATCGTTCAAAGTATACAAGGACACTAAACGCACAATATAAATTAGTGCCTGCGCCTTAGTCCACAAAAAATATGAAATAAAGTCCTCCAAAACGGTCAAAAGATAGAATTACTACACATCTTACTTGCCTGGATGCAAAACATAGTCAGAGCGTGATGTGAAAGTCCAGTGATGGAAATGTCACCACATCGCTTAAGTCCAGATCAGCTTTTCGTCCTTTCTTTGTGAAATGATTTCCCAGTTTTCTGTTCAAAAGAAAGACCGCAGAATATCCCGTAAAGGAGTCCAGGAGGGTGAAGATAAGCAATCCGCCGTGTGCGCAGAGGGAGGAGACGCTGCGCCTAAACCCGTGCCATGTCTGGGGCTGCAGCAGTAGAAGGCTCTATTATCCAGGAGGAGACAGCAGGCAGTGTGTCGTGCGCGTCTGCGGCTCGTTCCAAACGTGCGCTCCCCTCGCATCACTGGCGCAAACTGGCGGCCGCGCGTCTCCAAGCTCCGCGCTCGGTCTCTGGACCCGCATTCCCCCTCAGCCAATCAGAGGTTATGCAGGAGGCTCTGAGTGCTGGTGGGCGGGGCCATGAAGCGAAGCAAGCAACTACCTGTTCTGTTCGTTCTCTCTTTTTGCAGATACACTTGGTGGCCGACAAATGCAAGTTACAAGTTACAAGAAACTCCAACTGATGTTATACGTAAAGGAAGTTTTTTTTTTCTTTTTTTTTTTTTCCTCGGGTACCCAGCCTTATGATTAAGAGATATTGTATTGGTCGCACAGTGGGATGCCAGTGTTGCATCACAGGTTACGGAAGCACAAGATAAGTGACTAGTGAGTATATAGTCCCCTTCGTAAGTGTGTCCCATTAAAAAGTTATCTTCTTGAGGTATATAGGGGCGAGGTGGTGTAAATTCAATGTGGCGCTGCTCATGCTGTTAGTATTATACATGTATAATATGTAAAATGTGGAGCAGATCTGTCGGAATGAACAACGTTTCCAAGTGTGAGACATTGTGAGATGGCTTTATAGTAAAATCTACTTCTTGCATGATCCATTTTAGCTTCCACCAAGGTGAAGCAGTCTAAAGTATGCGGATTGAATATTTTATTTTGAAGGAATGAATGCACTATGATTTGCCTTTACCTGTTTTATGATTGTGATGTCCTTTCTTGTTTTGCAATGCACTTTGACTTGCCCTGTGTGTGAATAAAGCTGTAAAAATGGCATTGCCTTGCTTATTAATGATTGACATAATGGCCTTATCAGAGTATATCTGTGTGTGTATGTGTCGGACTGTATTTATAACATGTTTTACCCTAAAGTTGAAAACCCCACCGTTATTATTTGGGGGGAAAAAGGCCATGGTTGGAATGTAGCGTGGATCAAACCGCCTGCACATATTGCTCCATCTCTCACTCCCTCAGAAATCTTCTCATTTACACGGCAGCAGCAGCCAGGCCTCTCTGCTCCACGCACCAGCCGCACAGCCTGCTGCTGACACCGGGCGCGTTCAGAGTCGCAAGGGTGACACCTAGCGTCCACAGCAGTCACAGCCTCCCCGTGTGCGTTTCACTTTCGGCCAAAAACAACAACATCGTGTGTGCCCATAAGAATAACAATGGGACATGGTGCCAAATCAATTTCCCTTTTGCATTTACAACAGAAGTCAGCCATTTGACCACAATTAATTCTCTGAGCAAAAGGCGAATTAGTGCTAAGCCATATCCAATTCACTGCTAATCAATAAAGCGAGATTGAACTATGGTGAATAGAAAAATGGGGTCAACGCTTGGAGAGAGTTCATATTGTATATTCATGTATGCCTCATTGAAAAAAAACCCTCCTTGACTAGCAGAAAAATTAGAATGTGTAGTTTTTGCTCTTACTGTGTAAAATGTCACTACTGATACAATCCAAACCTCTTTCCTCCGCCCCTGCGTGTTAGGCTCACACATGTGGGAGCTCCACTCATGACTCGTGTGAAGAACAAAGCAGAAAATCTTTTTTTCTGAGTGGATATGTTGCTTAAGAAATGTTTACATGGGCCGCACTGAGGAGGATAGCACTCTCGCTTCTCAGCAAGAAGGTTCTGGGTTCAAATCCTGGTCAGAACAGGACCTTTCTGAGTGGAGATTGCATGTGCTCCGCGTGTCTGCATGGGTTTCCTCCCAGGTACACCCGTTTTCCCACCACTAAAAACATGTACAATAGTTCAGGGTGAATGAGTGTGTGTTTGTCAGTAAGAATGTGGGACAACAGATGCAAATTAGCCCATGGCTACAATCCAGAGTGATGTAATGACAAATACACAATACATAAAAAAAAACTAATACATAAACAATAAGGTGATCATTTAACAATGAATAATTATTTAGATACATCATATTGATCTGAAATGACAATATATGATTTGTATATGACCCTCAGTCAGACGATAAAAGATAGATTCAGAAAATAAAATCTTGTATTCTGTCCATTTTACTGATACAATGATTATTGTTTTTGTATGCGTTTTGACTTACTTTCATTTTTTAGGGTGACTAAAAATGCATTTGACAAAAAAATGTAAGTCAAAAAAAGTAAGTCAAAATGCATCATGGGTAAAATTATCCAGCAAATATAGTCGTGACTGAGCTAAGCCTCAACATCAGAGATACAGTAGTTCATCAGCGACTCCTGCTCTCATGTGGTTGCTCCAGAGTGGCATGAAAGGTCGAATCAATACAGAGGACACATTTCCCTATGAAGAATTGAATGTTATCTTAACTGTAACCATGGAACCTTTGCAAATATGATTGTTATGAAAATAAATTTGGCACAAGACAGTCAAAGTGTATCATGTGCCAAACTTGGCATGACTCAATGGACCTCACTGTGTTCTATAAATAAATGTTAATAGCTACATGCAGGGTACCCGCCTTCTACCACAAACAGCCCAATTTGTGGCTCATTATTGTCCATTAATAGTTAATGTTCAGCCATTAAACAGTGGTGGCCTGTTTTATTGAGCTTGAGGAAGTATCCTTGACTTGTTTGCTGCATTGGGATTACAACAATTTCCTCAAACAATGACTTTCATATACGTCTCAATAGTACATTCATATTTTGGTCATGTTTTATATGCAGTGGTACATTTGATTTGGACCCTGATAATTGTAAGTAAGTAAGTAAGCTTTATTTATATACCGCCTTTCACAGACCAGAGTCACAAAGCGGTTTACAATTGTTATTTTTGGGCACTTGTCCTCTCACTCCACACAGAGATGGGAGCAGGGTCGCCGAACAGGAGGCGCATGCCAGAACTATTGGACATATTTTTAGTGGTAGGGGAAACCGGAGTACCCGGAGGAAACCTACGCAGACACGGGGAGAACATGCAAACTCCACTCAGAAAGGCCCTTGTCCGGCCGGGATTCGAACCAAGGACCTTCTTGCTGAGAGGCGAGAATGCAGTATCCACTCAGCCACCGTGCCGCCCAATTGTACAGTATGTTGATTGTGTTCCTACATCTTCTGTTCTTCTATCTGCTTCTGTGTGATGTCATCTGTAAACTGTCCCAGTGAAAATGTATTGTTATTGTTCCACTAAAATGTAAAGTCAAGATCCCAGCTCAGGATAGGTTTATGTTTCACTTCCTGCTCTGAGTGTTATGTCCTTGGGCGAGACTTATCTTAATAATGAATGTGGTGTGTGGTAAAGACAGAGGTTAGATACGTTGGGGCCATAGTATGCTGTTTTGTGAAT